CCAGTGGCTCTGTCATGCCTCCCCCCCTGGTTATGAACACACATGTCTTTAGAAGTGCTTTCTGTAAGTCATTTCATCCAATCAACAGGCCTCTGAGAAAAATGTCCCCATTTTGAACATTGGAACCTGGAGCGTTGCAAAACTAGGTAGCATTAGAACTAAGACAGGAACCTGAGTCTATAACCCGAGCTCCTGACCACCTCTAACTGCCCCTCATACTATGCTGACTCCTCCGGGATCCATTTGCCTCAGTGCTGATGAGAATCGTGGCCCATGAACGATTCCAACCCATCGGGGAGCCAAGCCTTTGCCTGCTGAGTAGTAGCAGTGTTCTGACCGAAGTGGCTAAACAGCCCCCACAACAACATCTGGTACTTCACAGCACAAAAGGTCCTTTTGTAACCAAATATTTTACAGGGATGCTAACAAGAGTGGTCCTTTGGTCCCCTGCCCTAGAAGCATACAAGCTTTCCCATTGGCAAGTTGCTGAGGGAGACAAGGGCTACGGAGGTCATGCCATTTCTCTCTTACTTGTTCATTTGTCCATTTGTCAGTTCTGGGTGCCGAAGAGGTCGATGCTGATTGTTGGGTCATGGCAACTGTACAACTAGCACTGCCCCAGCCTGTCAGCGGAAATCTTGGGACCTGCTGGTCAATGCAGCACATGGAGTCAGAGGCACTTCATGCACAGATTTCACGGCGAGCTCTCTGGACCATCTCTCCAATGGAATCCAGTGATAATTTCAAAGGCAAGCTCAGAACCAGGCTCAGTCTACTGTAGATTGAGGAAACTCGAGATGGACAAATGGACAAGTTGGTTGTGTGTGTGTGTGTTTGCTGTTGTTCTCTACTTTGCTCATTGAGATCATGAGCAATCCCAAAAGATTTCTGATAGGGTGAATCACTGTGAGGAGTAACTGGCTGATGCCCTTCTCTGGAGAGTATAGGGGCTAGGAAGCTTCCAGACAACCTCTCTGGGGCTGAGCTGGGGTCTGCCACGAGATGCTTCCTGTCTGCTGTCTATCCAAGAGGCAGGGAGGAAACTAGCACACCCAGCATCCAGGATGCTGCCAAACAGCATGAGGGAGAATACAGAGAGAGAAAGAGAGCAAAGCTGGATAAAGTGTCAGTGCGGATGGGTGGATGGAATCTGTGAGAGAGGAAATGAGCAGAGAAAACATCTATTACAAATTCACAACCAGTGTCCAGGCACTTGCTGAGGCTTTATTTGGGGGCCCCAAGATCATGCATTCGGGATGAAGGGGCCACGTAAAAGAGTTGACAGGAAATCAACAGCATGAACGACATAGAGGGCCCGGGTGGATGCTGCTGTTGCTCTCTATTGGGTAACTCCGCACATACATTCTCCTCTTCCTCCTGTTTCAGCAAGTCCTGGTTTTGTTCAGGTGACAGTGTGCCTGTCCCTGGAAGTAACATATGGCTGTTGTAGCCAATCACTGAGATCCCCGGGCTGTGGGAATGATTAGCATGGGTTTTGGCCAATGAAATCTAGAAAAACATTTGCAGAGAAGGTTTCTGGGAATGATTTTTCTCCAACAATACATAAGAACTATGAGGAAAACCTCCTCTGTCACATCCCTCCTGCTGAGGGTGTTGTCATGTGAGCAAATGAAGCTCCTTTGTCTTGGAAGAAGGAAAGAGGAAAGAAAGGCCAGGAGAAGCACAAAGATTCCAAACCACGGCCTGGCTACCTAGACTTCCCAGAATCAAGTTGGCACTGGGAGGTGATGAAATGCTTTTATCTCTTATATAACACTTAGCTTTTTTTTTTTTTTTATAACTTGCAGATTATATCATTCTAACTGAAACACACACACACACACACACACACACACACACACACACACACACACACGCCATGGTAAAATTTTCAAGAGTGTTTCTCAGAGTATGCTCTGGATCCAAAAATGTTCTGTGATCAGATGAGTTTGCAAGAAATTGTGCATTACAGTCATCTCTTTCCATTTCACTTTTGCACATTAAAGGCCCTGAGAAGTCCTGCAGTTAAAACAATAACAACAACACAGTTTGATTGTCTTTAACTTTGCATTTCCAGAAAAGTTATTAATCAGAGAATCCGGTATTAAACTTTATAACAGAAGAAATGTCCATTTTGAAAAAAAAATTTAATTTTGAATTTGTAAAAAAAATCAGACCAAGTAAAGGAGAAAAAGAAAGAAGAGCAGTAGGAGCAAGTCTTGGCTAGGCCAATCCCTAAGCAGCGTCCACCTGCATTAAGCATGCAGGATCAGCTGCATCCCCCTGCATGCTTTTCTGTTCCCAGAAGGCCAAGAAAAAGGAGTGCCTTTTAAAAATACCCACTTACATTCTGACAACCTGAGAGAATGTACTAAGGGGGGAATATAAGCTTGGCAATATGATCATCATCCAATCATATTGTAGACAAATCAGGAGATGTGGTTTGATTGCTGTATTTAAAACATGTTTTAAAAAGGGCAGCTGAGAGACCCCCTACAGTGATGTGGGCAACTAAACAGATATTCACTTTTCTCTCTGTGACTCTCTTTTTAAGAAAAATATAATGAGATTAAGAAAAATGCATTTTATTGAGGTGGCCATGCATTAGCATCTCAGATCAGAAACAAATTTCTTTCAATCTGCAACCTCCAAAAAAAAAAAATGTCTCCTGAAAAAACATCACCTTGATCAAGAGATTTTTTTTTCTCGGCTAGAAGAGGAGATGAGTACACACAGAAGCCAGGAAGAAAAGGAGGGAGAGAAGAAAGGCAGGAGATGAGAGAGAGAGAGAGAGAGAGAGAGGGGAGACAGGGAAGGATGGAGCAGAGAACATATCCATAGCCCCACTGCTGTGACTCAGGGGTTGAGTGTGGACCTATAAACCAGGAGGTCACAGTTCGATTCCCAGTCAGGCACATGGCAGGGTTTCGGGCTGGTTCTGCAATTGGTGGTATGCAGGAGGTAGCCAATCATTCTCTCTCATTATTGATGTTTCCCTCTTCTTCTCCCTCTTCCTTCCTCTCTGAAAGCAAATTATATATATATATATATATATATATATATATGTATTTTAATAAATTGTCCCATAGATGAGGCACAGGTGTCAAAGGAGAGACAGTGCATTAGAACACTGCTGTCTCCAGAAAGAGATTAGAGATGAGGATCGAGTGAAAGGAAAGGGAAACCCTCACTACACCCCTGAGGTGTCAGTTAAATGTGAACTACATATATCTGAATTCCTTTTATTTAAGTATGTTATCTATTCATTCAAAACATAAATTACTTTAAGACAGTTTTTTTAAAAAGCAAAAAGCCTGCCACAGCAACACAGACAGAACACCAGTTCTTGCTCTTAGAGATGGGCTCCTATGGGGCAATCAGAGCCACCCTTTGCACTGAACTAAATGACCTGGTATATGGAATCACCACTTGAATTTCTTTCATGTCATAGGGAGGTCCCTGTTGACACTGTCCTCATTGGTGCGAAATAATAAGCTCCTCAAACCGCACACAAGCACTTCCCTGCCTCCCTGTCCGAAATGTGGCAGCCCAGTCAGTCTCATTTGTAATAGAGATTTTGAAATGATCTTAATGTTGACAAATGTATCAGGGACTCCTGGAGACAAAGCACACATTCCTCTTTACCTAGTTCTGGCCACCGCCCCCATTCAACCAGAAAGAGAAAGCCGAAGTGGACATACATTATTTACTTGGATGAACCAGTGATTGGGAAAGCTTAACCCATCGTGGAGGCTGCTTCATGAAGGAGTCACAGCAGAGACAGGCACAGGTGCACAGGAGGAACGTGGCGGGACATGAGAGGTGACTATAGAGGCCCATGATGGGAGACCAGGTAAAACACACATGCATCCAAGAAAAAAATCATCATTACTTGGCTCCATGTAACTGATCCTTCTGTTTGTGATGTTTGTGAAATGGAAGGATCTCACAAACCTGACACCAAAAGCAACTGTGGGATGAAATAACACTACTAGGAGTCATTGTCATCTCAAGACTGGAACTGAGTGAGCGCTCTGGAGAATTACAGTGATGTTAGGGTTATTGAGCGCATTTTCCTCATCTGTTAGATCCCATTGAACACATTGGTTCCCGTGACCCCAAATCACACTGCTGTCATTTCATAGATAGCAGATCCCCTCGTTTTTATAATAATGTGGAACCGGAACCACGAAGGCACAATGTCCGGTACAAACTGCCAACATCCATCAGTGACATTACAGCTAGGCTAATTATGACTTGAGCTCATCCATCCAAAACATGAATGCATTTAAGAACACACACAAATGGGGATGCCCCATCCTGAAATTTCTTGATATACCACACCCGTGCCGAGAAGAACATCAAGGAAACATCATGGAAAAAGAACAATGCCCCAATTCCAGCTAGAAACAAACCATTTTCTCTTTGCATCTACCAGTAGCTTATCTCAGCGCTGGGTTTCATTTTTAAGAAGGTAGATCACATAGGACGCTTTAAAGTCTGTCTCTTTCTCCTCTATGCACAAATGCCACAAAACGAAAAGGCCTCCGGGGGACATACCTTCCCCTAGACCACGCCCTTGACAGCTGAGGGGCTCACCCAGCCCAGGTCACAGCGAGAGGGCATTTCAGCCACTCAGCAAATAGCCCGCTAGTCACATTACCAAGGCGGCAAGACATCCTTTTGACCTTTGTTATCACTTAGGCCTCGTGTTGTACATAAAACGAGTACAATGATGTCAAACAAATTCGAGAAGAGAAGTATTTATTGCTGAATCTAAATCAAAAAATCCATATCTGCTATAATGGCACTTCAAAAGGAGATATACTGTATTTACCAGCCCAATCAATACCAAATTAGCTGGGATAAATATTTCCAACGCTCCCAGGCTGCAGACCAAGCCCACTATTTAGAACCCCGTGTCCTGGGAGAGACGAGGACATTTTTGCTTATCACACAGAAACGGAAAGCAGGAAGTGTTCGCACGCAGATGCACCTACCCTTAGCTGCTCTCTGTCACAATTCATCTGCTGTCTTGAAACCTACAAAGAAAAGGAAAAGAGGGGATGGAAGTCAGAAGGTTCTGCATCAGAACAACATGAAAGGGAAAAGGGAAGTTGCTTCTAATCACTGGGCTTAAAGCAAACCCAGGATTAATTAATTGCCTATTTACATTTTTCATTAAAACTCATTTTTTTTTCTCCTGTAAGCTTCTCTTGGCGTTTCCATTGTGTGATCCAGAAACAATTAGGATGAGTCGGTCTTGGAGGGCATGAGGAAAGAGATTCAATAGAGGGAGTGGTGCTGAAACTGGTTTGGCTCAGTGGATAGAGCGTCGGCCTGCAGACTGAGAGGTCCCAGGTTTGATTCCAATCAAGGGCATGTACATTGGTTGCGGGCACATCCCCGGTGGGGGGGAGGGGGGGTGCAGGAGGCAGCTGGTCGATGTTTCTCTCTCATCAATGATTCTAGCTCTCTATCCCTTCCCTTCCTCTCTGTGGAAAATCAATAAAATATATTTTATCTATCTATCTATCTATCTATCTATCTATCTATCTATCTATCTATCTATCTGTAAATAGAGGGAGTGGAAGGGGAAAGCTGCCCGGGGTGAAGGCCCCCTCTTGATATGCCCCACCCCCTGACCTTGCCCTGTCTATCAGGTTCAGACATCCTTCCCTAAGGCCCATTCCAGATCTTTGGGAATAGTCACTTGTCACCATGCAGTGTCTTCTCTGATGTTAAGATCCAGTAGTGTCATCTACCTGTCTTGGCAATTGGGTTACATTTTAAGGTCTAGTTCTACACACATGGTCATAGGATTGTGTTTAGGGATGATTCTGAGTTCAGTGCTCATACCAAGAGAGACCCTGATCAATCAGTGATATCTTCCCTCCATTCCAAAAGGAGAATTCGGGATATCCACACCAGGCATGGCTTATCCTTCCCTTCCAAAGCCTGCTTCTACAAACCTGAAATGCTTCTCTAGGGTGACCGTGGAGTCGATTGTTCCAACAGGAGAGTGTGTGTGAGTTAAAGGAGTGGGTGGGCTGTTGCCTGTGCCAGCGACAGCATATGTGAGTGGGGGTGACAAAGCAAGTGGAGCATATGGTCGCCCTGCCTCTGTGGGAACTGCGGACTCTACCTTCCACTCAGACAGCTAGGCGGAACTCCATCTCAGGTCTGCACGCACAGCATATTCTGTGTGTTTCTGGTATTTTCTTCACTGAGGAAGCCACCCCTGACTCTGAGCACCTGACAGTATATTGCAACTGTTTGAAACTTTTACTAAAGGATAAGGTTTTGGAACTGACGTTTGATGTATATTTTATGTATTTTGGAAGGAAGCTTTCTTTTTTATTGTTTGTTGCCATCTTTCAAACAAAAGCAAAGACAGGAATCTTTACTTAGGAGTTGCCAGAGCCCCCAGTCCATCAACCAGTGCTCTGCCATGTGCCCTTGAACCCAGAAAGATCACTCTCGGAACAGATCCCAAGAGCATAAGCAGGGATGCACAACACATGTTTCTCTACATGGCAGTTCCCCGCAGCATGTCATAGGGAAGAAAAGCATTGTGAGTATGACAGTGTGGCAATGGGAGCACTGGCCATCGATGACAGATGACAGCGTACTGACTTGATGATATAAGGCATAGCATTGGGAACCATGGTTTTGAAGTAGACTCCAAAGGCGCTACGTATTTAGTTTTTTTTAAAGAAGCGACAAAGTTGCACAGATGTTACAACCCCTGTTTTACTTTACAAAAACTATTCAAACAGATCATGTAAGATAAGGAAGAAAGAATAAGCAAAAAAGACTGGGAGGAAATAAATCAAAATATTAAAAAAGAAATGAGTACTGTTCTGTAAAAGCACAACACACACACACACACACACACACACACGATTATACATTTGAAATAAGTGACTTCATGATAGGCTAATTCAATTTCAATTGCTGCAAACTATTAGAAAGTGAAGCAGGGCAAATCCCTACAGATAAGTGGCTGCCATGGAATTTGGGGGGAGGCAGGTGGGGAGAACCATGGAGAGACTACTTCCTGGGATGACGGAATAGCTCTCAGTCTAGGTAGAGATGCTTGCACAATATTGTACCCTTCATGGTGCAGTTTCAACTAGAGAGGATGGTACCTTTCATTCTATGTTTCTTTCCCCATGATAATATAAGCCAAGTGGATGATGAGGTTCTGATTCTGGGTATGATGGAATGAGCACATCTCATCCCATCTCTCCCACTCAGAGCAACTATACATCCTGGGTGGGTAGCAGGGAGCAGACACCTGAGGTCTGTGAAGAGCTCACAGAGCAGGTGGACTGAAGAAGAATACCGGGATTCCAAATCCCACCAGACAAGACCCAAACTCCTGGAATCCACATACAGAGCCACTTACCAGGCGGTGAGGGAGGAGAGCCACCTCTGTGGACCAGAAGGTGGGCAAACTCCCTTGGATCTCTCTCTCTCTGCACTGTACACCTGGCCCAAATGCAGGCCCAGGGGCAGAAACACATGAGCACAGACCAGGAGCACTGAGTTTCTGGGAGCACTGCTGAGGCCTAGACTGACTGAGCACAATAACTTTTAAAGAAATAAGTAAACTTGCCACCTAAACCATGTGAAGTGAAACCATCTTATAAGGTTCCTATTATAAAGTCTATCAAGTGCAAAATTCAACAGTAGCAATGGAAATAGCTATGTTGTCCTACAAATAAAGCTGATTAGCAAAAATGAGATTTGAAGATAATAAAAAAGGCCATGTGAGCAATCTCTATTGTGGACATTTGTTGGTTTGGTTTGTTTGTTTGTTTCGAGTTTTTTATGAGTTTTTGTGTCTTTTATTTTTATTGTATGTATTGGGGTGACATTGGTTCATAAAATTATAAGGTGTTTCGGGTGTACAATTCTATAATACAACATCTGTATAGTGCATTGTGTGTTCTCTGTAGGTTGAGAGAAGTACTATGTGTATTGTAGACCTAAGCAGAATCCCACATGCTTTGGCCTATATTCTCCCAATAATATCTCGCTTCTCGTTAGGGTCATGCTCCTGCCCAATGCTATACATTCTTTGTGAGTTGGATACCATCGCTACCACACTCCACTTGCTGCCTCATAGCACCTGCACCTGCCGTTACCTCAGTAACTCACCAATCTCAGTAAAGTGACCAGTGACCTCTTTTTCTTCAAGGAGTGACCCTGTGTGAGCAGCCAGTTATGCAAGATGGCGACTCTCATCATGAGTCTGTCTTTGTGTTTCACACAGCAGTCCCTAGAAGATGCACTAGTGCTCTGGAGGCTTACCAAGTGATTGCTAGACCTACTGAGGCTCCTGCAAACCTTTCTCCTGAACCACCATGGGAGAGGGTCACAGAGAAAGACACCTGCTGCTGCTCCATAGCCTTTGCTGTGAAGGAAGACCTTCCCTGCACACGCTTTAAAAGCAGCCCTGAAACATGGTGTACATGTACACTTTACTAAATGTCATTTCATTTGGAACTAACATGAGATATATCTATTTTCTCTCCCATGGCAGTTATACACAAGCCCATGTTTTTATAGCCTAAATGAAAAAAAGGGGAAGTGGGAGGTCTGACGCTGCTCCTTTAAGATGCTTCCAGAGAATCAAATACCACTCTCCATAGGGCTGCCAAGTAAGCACTTATGAAAGGTTAGGAACTGAAGCAATAAACTTCAGCGGGAAACCCTTTGCCTTTCTGGTTGAACGGGATGTTTAATAGTGGGAATTCATCTTCTCTCACCTCCTATCTGCATGTAGCCAAAAGGGCCTAGGACTCTTTCCCAGACTCAGTCTTTTCATTGGCCCCTGACTTTGAGCTCTCTCTTATCAGTCCTTCCCTATGACCAGTCTGATTCCCCCTCCCACACATCAGACTAGATCTGCAAGGGAAAGGACTGAGCCTTATTTGGCTTTTTTCCTATAGATTAGGACCATGTTTGGGAACTATTTATTGGTCAATCCATTCTTTCATATATTTAATAACAAATATATACGTGTGTGTGTGTGTGTGTGTGTGTGTGTGTGTGTGTGTGTGTGTGTGTGATACACCTTCTGAATGCCAGATACTGTTCTATGCATTGAGAATATAATAGTCAAGAGGTCTTCTGGAGCTCATTGTCTAATTAGGGAAAACGATGAGTGAATTAATGGTTACAATACAGGGAACATTTGCTACAATGAAAATTTAAGCTGTGCTCATGGCACATGGAGGGATAGCAACCTTGCGTCAGAGCTTAAAAAATGTATTAATGTTTTATGTGTGTTTTATCTTTTGGAAAGTGTATCTAGAGGAAAAAAATGTGGGGGAAACTTTCAAGGAGAGAGGGGAATGTGAGAGTCCCAGTGACGATTTTGGAAGTGCCAACTAATTCAATATGGTGGGAGCATCACATAAGAGAAAAAGTTGATGAGAGATTAACTTGAATGGTCAAAGTAGGAGTTGAAGGAAATATAAAGGCATGGGATACATGAATGGATAAATGTACATCTTTTCTGGTCTATAATCATATAACATTGGAAATTCCAGTTTTTAGAACAGTTGTGAATCATTCAGAAGAAAACCAACAAAGCAGTCTAGCAGCACAAAACTCAATAAATCAAACCAGTGGGCACGTGCGTACATTTCTCAAGTTCTGCATTTTCACAACCATTATACATTTTTTAAAAATAATATGGCATTCTCCTATAAATCTACACTTCGAAGTACCTAGGCTGAGCACTATAATCTGCATTTTCCTTACACATTTGAGGATTGATATACCCTGGACATGTGGACTCTGAGCTCCTACTTTGCGACTAGCACTATGCTATCGGAAGAGGACGCAGATATAAAATTCAGAGACATTATGCATTTCCTAAAAATCTCAAAGAGAGGGGGATAGAGATGCATAAAATAAAGATTGTAATGCAGAAAGAGAAAACACAGAATACCAGGAGGACCGATAGGAGAGGTGCCAGCCCAGCCTGTGGAATGAGGCATGGTGGAAGGAGGTGAAGGAGGAGACC